CCTACATACTGTCGTCTTGTCTTATCTTGTCTGATAATCCCTGTCTTAGATCATTGTGCATTGCTATGGAAGAATATCCGAGGTTGGTTTGCTTCTAAAGAAGAGAGGTTTATTTGGCTCATGATCTTGCAGGTTGTACAGCATTGGGTAAGGACCTCTGGCTGCTTCTCATGGTGGAAGGGAGCTGGTGTGTGCAGAGATCACATAGCAAAAGAGAAAGCAAGAGACAGGGCGAGGGGTAATCAGGCTCTTCTTAACAACCAGCCCTTGCGGAAATTTAGAGTGAGAACTCATTCACCTTGGAGAGAGGGCGTTAATCTATTCATGAGGGATCTGTCTCTAATCCACAGACACCTCCCATTAGAACCTGCCTCCAACACTGAGGGTCACATTTCGACGTGAGGTTTGGAGGGAACAATCATCCAAACTATAGCAACTCTCAAAACTTTTTATGTGACCCCCTTCTTCACATATCTTAGCAGTAGGAACAAATGGTGGAAGTATCGTTCCAGGACAAACATACCGAGTCTGGTTGTAGCCTTTAAGCACAGATCCACTCTAAGTGCTGGAGCTCACATTGAATCAGGACTTTGAAGTCAGGCAACTGGATTTAAAGGCCAGTCTGTCACTATTAACAAAATCTTAGAAACATTCTTACCCGTTTGTGTTTCAGTTTCCTTATCTGTGAAGTGAGGATGATAATAGGACTCATATCACAGGACCATGCTGTGTGCGTGGTGTGTGTGTGTGTGTGTGTGTGTGTGTGTGCAGCTTAGAACAGTACCAGACACCAAGAAAGAGTTAGTAAATATTAGTTGTTATTTATACCACTAATAAAAACAACGGCTTGATATTATTATATCTCTCTACAAGTTTTATCATTCCTATTTTACAATGAAGAATCTGGGTCTTGGCAAAACCAATTAGCTAGCATAGGCCCACAAGTCACAGGACAGTTTATGCCCTCTTCAATATGCCTATTTGATTAAGTCTCTGTGGATACTTTACTAGCAAAAGAAGAAAAAAAAGTCCAGAAAGCAGAGAAAAGGACAAAGAATAAATTCTAGCCGAGGAAGAGAGATTGTATACTTGACATTCAACAATGCAGGAGTTAGGGGTGCTGCTGTCCCATGCAGTCAAAATCTGCCTATAACCTTTGACTCCCCCAGAACTCAACTACTAAAAGTCTACTGCTGGCCCAAAGCCTAACTGGTAACATAAACAGTATGTTAGCACATATTTTGTATGTTATGTGTATTATATACTATACGCTTACAATAAAATAGAGAAAAAATGTTATTAAGAAAATCATAAATAAGATAAAATGTATTTATTGGCAGGGCACGGTGGCTCATGCCTATAATCCCAACACTTTAGAAGGCCAACATGGGAAGATCACATGAGGCCAGGAGTTCAGAACAAGCCTGGCCAACATAGCAAGACCCTGTCTCTACAAAGAATACAAAAAGTAGCTGGGCATGGTGGCACATACATGTTGTTCCAGCTACTCAACAGGCTGAGACAGGAGGATTGTTTGAGCCCAGGTGTTGAAGGCTGCAGTCAGCCGTGTTCATGCCGCTGCCCTCCAGCCTGGACAATAGAATGAGAATTTAAAAAAAATCTTTATAAAATAAAATGTCTCTATAAAAATAAATAATTTTTAAAAAATTATCTAAATATAATAAAATATGTATATTTGCTGTTTATTAAGTGGAAGTGGATCATCGTGGAGGTCTTCACCCTCATGGCCTTCATGTTCAGTAGGCTGAGGAGGAGGAGGAAAAGGAAGAAATGGTTGGCTTTGCTGTCTCAGGGGTGGCAGAGGCGGAAGAAAATCCATGTATAGGTGGACCTGCACAGTTCAAACCCGAGTAGTTCAAGGACCTACTGTAAAAGAACATCTCAACTGACTTAAACTATAAAGGAAGTTTATTTTCATACTTACCAGACGTGTCCAAGGTTGGGAGCCTCGGGGGCTGGTGAATTCCGTGGCTCAGCAAGGTCATCACTAACATGGCATTTTTGTGTCTCTCTGCTTTGCCAGTTTTAGCGACAGTTTAGCTCCCACTGTGGTCCCAACATCACTGCACTATTTCCACACAACAAAATCCGAGGGAGAAGGGAGACTACTCCCAACATGTTTTTTAAGAAAGGGAAATCTTAACCAGGGCCTTAGTTAGAGCTATGTCACCAGCCCATGGACTATCATGACGGGCTCAGTGAAGCACGTGGCTGTGTGGAGAGGCTGAGTCACAGGAAAGAAGTGGACAGCGGCTCATGGGTAGTAACCAGTATCCTCCCCGCCAAGAAAAGCCCCCTTCTTTGATACTCCCTAATCAACAGGCAAAATAGCAGTCAATTTTAAGACTAAGCAACAATACAAATCTTATTTATTCTTTTTTTTTTTTTGAGACAGAGTCTCACTCTGTCACCCAGGCTGGGGTGCAATGGCGTGATCTCAGCTCACTGCAACCTCTGCCTCCCGGGTTCAAGTGCTTCTCCTGCTTCAACCTCCTGAGTAGCTGAGATTATAGGCACCTGACACCACGCCCAGCTAAGCTTTGTATTTTAGTAGAGACGGGGTTTTGCCATGCCAACAATACAAATCTTACAAAGGTGCCGCCAGAGGATGCTTTGTTTTTGACAATGATATTTTACATACGTGTGTATCAGTCAGAAAAACTGGTTTACGATGCCGTAATAGGCAACACCAAGTTTTCCGAAACATACAACTGTGACGGTTTACTTTTTGTTCCCAGAACTTGCAGCCAACTTTTCAGGACCATCCAAGGTCTTACTCGGTCCCAGGCTTATGCAGTCTTCCAGCATCTCCACCACAGCCTCAGGCTTTGGGTTCACAGCAGTAGGAGGAGCAAGCATGGAAAACCTCACACCGGGGCACAAGTTGCCTCCTTTCCTGGCCTTTGCTCGAGCCTATCCCAAGGCTCTGCAGGAAGTCTGGTAAAACAATCCTCTTTGTGTCCAGAAGAGGGAGGGGAGCCAGAAATGTCTGTGAGTACTAGTAAAGGCAACCACACCCCCTGCCCAGGAAGCATGCCAGGAAGGGGATCCTGTTCCATGTGGGTCTGGGCGTCAGGAAAGGAACCTTGACGCTGCCGGACTAGCTGGGGAAGCAGGGGCCTATCCCCTTTGTTTATTGCAACTCCCTCCTCTAGTGGGACCCCTGTCACTGGGTAGAAGTTTGGTTTCCAGGTTTCCAGTGGGGTAAATAGCTTGAGCTAATCAGAACTATTTGAAATCAAGCCATGAAGTAACAAATAAAAAACTTTGCAAAAATTAAAAATATGCGCGCACGCCACACACACACACACAGATGGAAGCTTGCTAAATTGGGAAATGGTTGTGCCCTATTATAACCCAGACCCCTCCCATGCTGTGAGGTTTTTAAGTACAATTTTAAATGCTTCCAACGCTGGTGTCAGAGCAGGAAGGATCTACCGCTAAACATCTCTCCCTCCGTCCCCATGTGACTTTGAATCCCAAAAGGTGAGAGAGCACCTCAGGATCAGGACCAAATGAGCAGCTTTGGCTGCGGAGACACAGGATCAGCCACAGCCCCACGCCCACCCCACAGAGAAATTTTCTTCTGTCTCTGGAGTCTTCTTAAACTTCTCAGAGAAAGTCTGTGGGTAACATGGATTAAAGACATACTCTAACTCCAAATAAGATACTTGGCTTTGGTCTGAATGAGAAGATCCTTGTAGGAATTTGTGTCCATTAAATAAATTACCAACAGAATGGAAATTTGGAAATTCACAAAGTTGTCAACCCAAAATCCAGCTGAACTGAGAAAATTATAAATGTTTGCGCTTTGAAGTAAATAAATGATGGAGGCTACGACATTCCCGCTGGTGGATTAGGGTTTTTTGTTTATTCAGATCACTTGTGAGCCCTTGAGGAGCAGCAGCACTTAGGCTTAATTTTATAAGCTTTTTCTCGGAGGATTTGCTAATGGCTTCAGTGAAGTTTAAGGAATCTAATGTAGCTAAACACACTTTCCCAGTATTTAGCATGTCATTGAATAAACAAAGATAAAACAGCCCAATCCTTCAAGATGATCTTCTACCTATTAAATATTCAGTCTCACTGTGAATTTTTTAAAGGGGAAATGGGTACGTAAACTTACAGTAGAATTATTTAAATTTTACGTTTGTATCCTATTCTGTCTGCTTATGCATGACATTTATCAGCAGAAAACCACAAAACACAAAATGGGTATTTTTGTTGCCTTTAAATATATTTCAGTGATATCAGTGTTGTCCTTAGTATCAGCACTGTGACTGCAGTAACCTAAGTCAGAAGCAGGCTTGTTAGTGGCAAAGCAGGGTGTGATGATGAGCTGAACTGGGTCTGTTTCTGGACAAGGGACCACCCCAGAAGGTTCATGCAAGAACATAGCATGCTCTTAAAATGCCTAAAGGGCATCTTCAACTGAGAAGTGAAAGTTTGGTTCACTTTTTGGTTTGATGCCTTTTACTGAAAAACGGTCACTATTCCCACCCCCATTGCGGGAGGACTGAGCATATTGTGAAATGTCACCACCCAGCTCTATTTTTGGATTAGCAGCTCCAAAGAACAACACGCCTCTCTAAGTCATCCTGTAAGGTGACCCCGAAGTGTGACTTGTCACCCCATCCCAGTTTCTTTAGCCCCTGAGCCATGGAGGGCAGCCTGGCCTGATGCACCCGGGACTCATGCTCACAGATGATCCAGGACATGCTCTAAACATTAGCTTTACTTCCAGCCAAGTCATGGCCTCTGTAGAACCTGCCAGAGCAGAAGTTGACCTGCCCCCGGGGTGGGTAGAGGGAGCAGGGGATGGGGACTGCTTTACACTTTGTCCCTGGAATAAGATATCCATGATCTGCTACTAATTTGGTGTGTGTAACCTTGTCAGGCTAAGGCATTTCTGTAACTCCTCTGCTCTGTATATAAAAGATTAAGACCCTGAGGTTTCAGGACCAGGTTGTGGCCTCTGAGAGCCCCGGAGCTGAGGAAACAGGAGTTACAATACTTGCCTTCCTTTACAACACATCAAGGCAGCAGCAGCTTCATCTCAAAGGTAAAGGACATTGAACTCGATGTGGGTGGGAACCTGATGGAGGTTCATCCCACTCTTCAGCAGGGAGGGAAGTGATGCTCCTTGTAAGCCTGTAAACCTGTCTTTCTCAGTGGCTGGGATTCGCCTTTCCCTCTGAACCTTCTTGCATGCATCTGCTTGGAAATGACTCACAAATCCTAATAGGGGCTTTTCCATACCTAATTTACATAATTAAATGATGCAGTCAAAACAAGTTAAACTGCGAGAAAGCCAGAAATTGGTGCCAGTGTTCTCCTAAGCAGGTTCTGAGAAAAACAGAACATATGGACGATGCATTGCCAACACTGCAAAAAAACGAACACCCTCAAGGAATGTCCAAATAGAGATGCTCGACAGTGGGCTTCTCGGGAGACTCACTGAAGAGGCTATGCCTTAGCCTCAGCCTTCGTCATTCCGAGAGTTGCTTAAACTGTACTGTGCACAGGAGTCATCTGGGGATGAGATGAAAATGTGGAGTTTGATTCCGATTTGGGCCTTGGTAAATTCTGCACTTGTACCAACTCCGTGGATGCCGGTGCTGCTGGTTCATGCACTCACTGGGGTCTCAGTGACAGTAAATAATCCTTGAGACTTTCCCATGCCTGAATCTTACCAAATCAGCAGAGTCAAAATGCATTTTTACCAAAAGCATTTTCTGTTCTGTTTTTTTTTGTTTGTTTTTTGAGATGAAGTTTCTCTCTTTTTGCCCAGGCTGGAGTGCAATGGCATGATCTCAGCTCACCACAACCTCTGCCTCCTGGGTTCAAGCGATTCTCCTGCCTCAGCCTCCTGAGCAGCTGGGATTGTAGAGATGCTCCATCACGCCCAGCTAATTTGGCATTTTTAGTAGAGACAGAGTTTCTCCATGTTGGTCTGGCTGGTGATATGCCCACCTCGGCCACCCAAAGTGCTGCGAGTATAGCTGTGAGCCACCGTGCCTGGCCTTTCTGTTCTCTTTTTAAAGTTTTTATTTTTAAATTAATACACAGTAAAAAAATAATTCTTTGGTGTGTACTCAGTTCTATGAATCTTAACATACATATAGCTTCACGTAACCACCACGATGAAGAATGCAGAACAATTCCATCAGGTCCCCCAGTTCCTTCATGCTATGCCTCTGCAGTCATACCCTCCCCAACTTCTCATTGCAGGCAGTCATGATAGTTTTGTCTTTTCAAGAAGACCATACAAATGGGATCAAAGAAAATATATACCAACCAGCCCGGGCAAGATGGTGAGACCCTGTCTCTACAAAAAATACAAAAATTCGCCAGGTGTGGTGGTGCACACCTATAGTTCCAGCTACTCAGGGGGCTGAGATGGGAGGATCACCTGACCTGGAGGAGGTCAAGCCTGCAGTGAGCTGTGATCATGCGCCTGCACTCCAGAATGGGCAGCAGAGTGAGACCCTGTCTAGATTAAAAAAAAAAAAAAAGGGGGGGTGGGCCGGGCGCGGTGGCTCACGCCTGTAATCCCAGCACTTTGGGAGGCCAAGGCGGGCAGATCACGAGGTCAAGAGATGGAGACCATCCTGGTCAATATTGTGAAACCCCCGTCTCTACTAAAAATACAAAAAATTAGCTGGGCATGGTGATGTGTGCCTGTAATCCCAGCTACTCAGGAGGCTGAGGCAGGAGAATTGCCTGAACCCAGGAGGTGGAAGTTGCGGTGAGCCAAGATCGTGCCATTGCACTCCAGCCTGGGTAACAAGAGCAAAATTCCGTCTCAAAAAAAAAAAAAAAAGGAAAGTAAGAAAAATATATATACCCTTTTGAGATTGTCTTGTTCTACGGAACATAATGCCTTTGAGATTCATCCAAGTTATTGCATGTATCGAATAGTTTGTTCCTTCGCTATACCGTACTCCATTGTATGAATGTTTGACCTATTTTTATCCATTCACCCACTAAAGAAATATTAGTTGTTTATTTTTGGCAATCACAAATAGAGCTGTGTACAGGTGTGCAAGTTTTTGCTTGAACACAAGTTTACATTTCTCTAAATACCTAGAAGTGAAATTGCTGGGTCATATGGTAAGTGTATGTTTAACTTTATAAGAAACTACAACCAACCAGGCATAGTGGCTCACACCTATAATCCCAGCACTTTGGGAGGCCAAGGTGAGCGGATCACCTGAAGGTCAAGAGTTCGAGACCAGCCTGGCCAACCTGGTGAAACTCTCTCTCTACTAAAAATATAAACAATTAGCAGGGTGTGGTGGCGGGTGCCTGTAATCTCAGCTACTCAGGAGGCTGAGGCAGGAGAATCACTTGAACTCGGGAGGTAGAGGTTGCAATGAGCCAAGATCACGCCATTGCATGCCGTTACTCTCCAGCCTGGGCAATAAAAGGGAAACTTCCTCTCAAAAACAAAAAAACCACTGCCAAACTCTTCTTCACAATAAATCCCTGTACCATTCTGCAGTCCTGCCAGCAATGTGTGAGGGTTCCAATTCCCTTTCTCCCTAAACCAGAGGACTTCTCAAAGCTCTTTCTATTCTTGTTCCCACTTCTGGGTTGCCTTGAGTCTAAACGGGGACACCAGAGTAAAAATAGAAAATTTAATGCTGTTCAATGGTAGTTAGAATTGTGGAGGTTCCCTCCAATATACCTGCTGCTGTTTACTTTTCAGAGTCCTCAAACATCTGCGCCATACATTCTCTCCAGACCGCATTCTTTGGAGGGACAGGTTAGGGTGTGTTTCCTTCAGCTCACCAGGACTGGAACCCTTCTGTTCTATTTCAAGCCCCAATCCTAAAGCAAAATGTAAAAGGCGGTTAAACATACTTTTGGAAATGTGAAAAATAACCATGAAATTCTTGCCTTCAGGAGGTGCTGGATAGGCCAGAAGTACATGAGCGGTGTACACAGTCAGCTGGTGCGCACTGAACTGCCCCAGCCAAGAGTCACAAGAATGCTCAGTGTAAGCCAAAAGCCTCTCTTAAAAAAGTAACTCTCAGATTTCTCAATTTGGGTTTAATACTCTGGGTAAATGAGTCTTGGGAAATCAAATTGCTGGCACAGCGTTCAGGCTGGCGAGGGACAAATGTTCCTTTGTTCCCGTGGATTCACTGAATGCGCATTGGCTCACAGGTGGCCGAGTGTGACACATTCGGTTTGACTGAATCAGCGTCTTCACATCCCTTCATGCGGTTGTTCTCTGTAAGCGTTAATTAATTTGTTGATTTCGTGAAGTAATATTCCTAATCGGTATGGAGGTTATGGTTTGTCCAAGTTGGTGGTGATTGACTGGAATCAGCAGCACGAATTCTCTCAAGCACCAGGTTGCATGGTGTTTTTGGCTGAAGGGATACAGAGGAATAGAGCTATTTACTTATCAAGAGCTTTCAACTATGGAGAGTCTCCTCATCATGCTTCTACTAGGAGGAGCAGTTGTCCTCATAGACACCAGGAAACCGAATCACAAATACTCACAGAAACACGTGTTATCTGTGAACGAGATAAACTGAATGACAAGATGCTAACAGAGTCTCCCAGTAGGTTAGAGCCAGGGAACTTGAACTTCTAGTCCAAAGACAGAAGAAGCTTTTCCCCTACCTTTACCAAGGAATAGTTTGTGTGTAGTGAAATTCACTCATTTAAAATGCAGAGTTTGGTAAGTTTTAGCAACTATATACCACTATATAATCAACACTATAAACAAGACACAGGCTGGGTGTGGTGGGTGGCTCATACCTGTAATCCCAGCACTTTGGGAGGCCAAGGCAAGTGGATCACCTGAGGTCAGAAGTTCGAGACCAGCCTGGCCCACATGGTGAAACCCCGTCTCTACTAAAAACACAAAAGTTAGCTGGGCGTGGTGGTGGCCACCTGTAATCCCAACTACTCAGGAGGCTGAAGCAGGAAAATCACTTGAACCCGGGAGGTGGAGGTTGCAGTGAGCCGAGATTATGCCCCTGCAATCCAGCCTGGGTGACAGCAAAACTCCATCTCCAAAAAAAAAAAAAAAGTTACAAGACACAGAACATTTCCATTACCCTAAAAAGTGCCCATGTTCCTTTGCCCTCAGTCCCCTCCCCATCTCAGCCTCAGCCAATCCCCGGTCTGTTTCTGCAGCTCTTTGTTCTGTTTCTGCAGGATTCTCACTGCCAGCCTCTGCACAGGCCACTTCCTGCACCCTGGGTGCTCCTGCCCATCCATCCTGCAAGGCCCTTCCTCTAGGACCCCCAAACTCTCAACCAGGTCAGGGCACCCTCCTTGTGCTTCCCATTTCAGTGCCTGTCACATGAGGTGTCAGTGCCTATGAAAGCCTGTGCTCACGTCACTCGCTGTTATCTGAAGTCCCCTGAGGAGGGACCCTGTCTTAGCCCACTGTCAGCCCTTTAGAGCGAAGAAGGATGGGGTATTAGATATCTTTTTGTTTGTTTGTTAGTCTGTGACAGGGTCTTGCCCTGTCGCCCAGGCTGGAGTGCAGTAGAATAGACATGGCTCATTGTAGCCTTGACCTCCTGGGCTCAAGCGATCCTCCCACCTAAGCCTCCTGAGTAGTTGGGACCACAGGCATGTACCAGCACACCCAGCTAATTTCTTCCTTTTAATTTTGTAGAGACAGGATCTCTGTATGTTGCCCAGCCTGGTCTCAAACTCCTGGGCTCAAGTGACCCTCTAGCCTCAGCCTCCCAAAGTGCTGGGATTACAGGCACGAGCCACTGCACCTGGCCTAGAACTTTAATCCCCTCTTTCTGCCTTATTTTTATATTTTCCTAAAAGTGTATTTCTAAAGTTACTGTTAATTTTGTCTCCCTGAAGCTACAAAATCGGTGATAGTAGCCATTACAGTTCTGCTCATGGTGAGGACAATGACTAAAACAAGCTAAGAAGACAAGGTAGTTTGTTTAAAAGCGAAATGCATTTTTTCTTGGAGATCTTACTTTTTTTCACCATTGTCTCACTAGCATTTTCCAGCAAAACAGCTGGTTACTTTGCAAAATAACATGATGCAGATGGAGGTAGAGATGAATGTCACTCTTCAACCCAGAGGGAGCTCTGCTATTTCTTGGAAAAACATGTATCTTCCATCTTACGCATGTGGGATACCTCCCAACGAGTGGGCGTGGTGAGGCTCCTCTCTGACCCATCAGAAGTGAAGGAACATAGGACAAACACTCTTACCAAATGCTCCTCTGGGCATGGCCCCACGTAGGATATGGTCCAACTTAAGAACTTCTACTGTCATCCAAGCTTCCCTAAATGGTGGCCAACAGACCAGGGATAAAGATAAATGAATGTGTCATATACCCAAGAAGCCACACACTCAGTATTGCATGAAAATAAAGATTCACACTTATTCATGGTCGTCAGTGACATTCAATTAGCTCAGACTACTGATGTCCCTAGACCAGACAACAGTCAGAAAGATCAGTGGGCCAGGACCAAGCTCATCAGTTATATTTATTCGGAACTTTATAAATTGCGGAACACTTTCACATTTGGGGTTAAACTTGGCCTGCAGAGAAATTTTCTTTCCTTTTTTTTTTTTCTGAGACAGTTTCACTCTTGTTGCCCAGGCTGGAGTGCAATGGCATGATCTCAGCTCACGGCAACCTCTTCCTCCTGGGTTCAAGCAATTCTCCTGCCTCAGCCTCCCAAGTAGCTGGGATTACAGGCATGTGCTGCCATGCCCAACTAATTTTCTATCTTTAGTAGAGACGGGTTTTCTCCATGTTGGTCAGGCTGCTCTCAAATTCCCGACCTCAGGTAATCCACCCACCTTGGTCTCCCAAAGTGCTGAGATTATAGGCATGAGCCACCTCACCTGGCCCAGAGAAATTTTAAAGATGAGAAAACGGAGGCCAGGAGAAGCCATGTGACAAACAGATGGTATATCAAGGCAGCGGAAACACAGGTCTGGAGTGAACATCTGGCTTCAAACCCCTCTCTCCTTCCACCCTGCTCCCTGTCCTGCTCTCTCTTTCTGAGAGTTTGACCCAGACCTCTATGCTCAATTCCAGACCCATGTGTCAGGCACTCTTCCAGGGCTTCCCCCGGGGGATCAGCACCCAGGAAACTCAAACTCCATCCATCCAGCACAGCCTGAGCCCAGTCCCCACAGCCCTCCTCCTCTGTTTCCCATCTGTGCACAGGTAGAGACAGGGCAGTCTCCACCGACAGCCGTTCTTCATTTTTCAGGCAGAGTTTCCTGTGAATCTGTCTATTCTTCATCATCCCTGCCCCTCCCACCCTGGTCACAGCATCTTTTTGGGCTCCTTCAGCAGCCCAGTCCCTCTGAATCCACTCTCACCCCTCCAGTCTCCACCCCCAGAACATCTGGCAAAATGCCTTTCTGCACCCACTATTTCCTCACTGAAAGCCCTTCTTGGGATAAGGTCCAAACCCTCTCTGGGGCATGCCAGGCCAGCTTCTCCAGGCTCCTATCTCCCCCATGCTCTTCTGCGGGGGTTCCCACCAGCAGACAGGAGCATCTGCCATCCCTGCTTTTGAGGTTTCTGCTAGATCGACTCAGCTGGTCTGAAAGTTGAGCAGTTTCTGCATGCAAAAAGTGAGCATTTTGAGTGTCTGGCATGTATAATTCCACACACAAGAGCCCACATGTGTGCATGCATGCACACACACCTCAAAGCAGCTTGCTCTGGGGCATCAGGTACTGGAACCATTTTCTATGATAAACTCCTTTAGTAAAGGGCCTGGAAGCTTTCAGAAGTCTGAAGCCTGTCACTCCTCAAATGTCTCACCTAAAAGATGAGGAAGGTCACGGCCATCTCATGCAGACGCTGTGATAACTAAGTGGACCTAGACACACAAAATGCCTGCTGCATGCTCCCTGCTGCCAAAAGTTGAGAAATATCTTCTGTGAGGAGAAAGGAAGGGCAGAGGCATTTGCCTGGTGCCGGTTTATGAAAGGCCTGCGCTCACATCTCACTGTGACAACCAGCCAGCAGCAAGCACTGAGGCCACCACTGTCATCCTCCTTGCAGAGATCCTGTGGCTGGCAGGTCTGCCTCATGTCAATAGCAGGGTCCGGATGCCTGTGCCCTGCAGAGTCTCAGGATCGTGTTTTATGGGGGTTCAGCTTCTTCTTTTTTTTTCTTTTCAAAAGCTTTAGGAGTACAAGTGGGTTTTGGTTAATGGACAAATTGCACAGCGTTTAAGTATGGGCTTTTAGTGCACTTGCCACCCAAATAGTGTACATGACACCCAATAAGTGATATTTTATCCCTACCTCCCTCCTCTGAGTCTCCAGTGCCCATTATGCCACTCTGTTTGCCTCTATATACCTGTGGCTTAGCTCCCACTTATAAGTGAAAATATACAATATTTGGTTTTCCATTCCTGGGTTATTTCACTTAGGATAATGGCCTCCAGTTCCAACTGAGTTCCTGCAAAAGATATTATTTTGTTTTTTGTTATGGCTGAGGAGTATTCAATTATACACACGCAGGCACACACACGCGCACACACACACATGCACACACACGCACACACACATACACACACACACACACACACACATATATGTATAGCATTTTCTTATCCGCTTATCAGTTGATGGGCAGTTAGGTTAACTCCATATCTTTGCAACTGTGAACTGTGCTGTGATAAACACATGCAGGTGTCTCTCTTAATATATTGACTTCTTTTCCTTTGGGTATATACCCAGTAGTTGGAATTGCTGGATAAAATGGTAGATTTATTCTCAGTTCTTTGAGAAATCTCCATACTGTTTTCCATAGAGATTGTACTAATCCCACCAACAGTGTGTAAGTGTTCTCTTTTCTCTGCATCTGTACCAATACCTTTTGGGGTTTTTTTATTTTTAAAGTCAAACTGGAGTAAGGTGGGTTGGAGTAAGATGGTATCTCGTTATTGTTTTAATTTACATTTCCCTGATGATGAGTGATGCTGAGCATTACTTCATATGTTTTTGGTTATTTGCACAGCTATTTTCTTTTTTAGGGGATGAATCATCAGTATACCCGTCGGGAGGTCTTCTGCCGGAACACCTGCCATGATCTCAAGCGTTTCTGGGAAAGGGAAATTGGCAAACAGACTTACTACCGAGAATCAGAGGAGCATCGTCTGGGAAGAAGCGCGTTGAGGAAGTATGTGGCTTGTTTGTCTACATTTTAATATTAATTCATTTTTAAAGTACATCTTATTATTTAGAACAGTTTTAGGTTCACAGAAAAATTAAGCAGAAGGTGCAAAGAGTTCCCTGCCTGCCCCCCACGCAATTGCCCCACTATCATCATCTGCACCAGTGGTGCCCTGTGACCACTGATGAACTTTCACTGACAAGTTATTATCACCTTGTCTATTTGTTTTGTAAGAGCAAAACTGATTTGTCCAGAAGAATGCCAAATGGGCATCTTAGAAGATGTAATTATTTTAATTTTCCATGCTTACAGTCCTTTAATTCTTATCTTTATGAACTGGAAAACTTTCTCCTCTCTGTCACCGTGTTACCTTCTAGCACATGAGAGTTACACTAAATGGGGTGGGGGTACAGGGGCAATTACGCATCTGTGAAAAGCAATCAAGCAAGGGAAACAGTGCCCAGTCCTCATCTCCCGTTTGGGTGAAGACACAAGATGCCCTGCGTGGTTCCTGGAGGGGAAGGCAGGGTTTCCCCTTGTGCAGCCCTGTTCCAGCCCAGTGAGTCTGCCGAGCAGTGGCGTGCAGTGACTCCCGTGGGCAAATGAGGGTCACCTTGCTGTGGAAGCAGTGCAGGCTCACTGCCCTCACACACACACTACAGAAAGCCATCATGGGCCCCAGGGAGAGACAGCCATTTTGGGCTCTGTCTTCTCAAAGGGAACAGCTCAGCCAGCTGTCTGCCGAGGCTGTGGCTTATGTGTGGTAAGGGAGTATGGGGCCGTGAGTGCTGTCCAGACAGTAGGGTCCATGACTCCATGGCTGTTGAACAGAGAGCATGCCTTAATTCACAGGTGATAAACTCACTGCAGCATTCCCAAAGCCCCTCCTGAGCCCTAGAGGGGAACCCAGCCTCCCACTTACAGAGACCTGCTCAGCCTTATCCCCAACCACCATCCTACGTGCTGAAGTGCAGTGTTAGGGTGTAGAAAGCTGACGTGGGTGGCCAGTCATTTCTGCAGTTCCTGCCATCATCTTCCCCCAGTCCTGTCCCATGTGTGGATTCCCAGGCAAAAGGCCTCAAGGGAAATGAAATCGACCCAAGAAAGATGCAAAAACCAAAGAACCCAAGAGAGGCACAAGCCACGGGGTGAACAAAACAGCCTCTGAAGCAAATTGTGCAGGTTGTTAAAAGATTACAAATGTATGCATGCAGTATCTATCTGTGCCTATCCCAAAACAATGCAAGGAGATAAGCTTTCTGGATGATGGGATGGCAGAAGACTAACTTATTTGTTCTCCTCCCCATCTTCTGATCTGAAGCTGGGTGGCCTGGCTCCAGAGGCTCTGCTCTAATTAACGCTCTATGTTGTCCCTTCACAAAATGGAAAAGAAGGTCCCAAATCATTGGGCTGCTAGAAGGCTTGACTATGGAAATGTACCGACGATACCCAGCCTGGTGCCAAGCCCAAGGTCAGGGCTCAGGAATGTTAGTTCCCCTCCCTCTTCTGCACTCCCATTTAATAACCCAGGATCTAATACAGCAGCAGCAATATTCCAGAGGAAGGCACCCCGTGGAGGAGGACAGGTGAAAACAAAATCACAAGAGTGGGCGAGGGTGGGAACAAGCTCAGAGTAGCAGTGCACAGTAGAGACTTTACAGCCGGTTGCCTGGGCTCACCCTTCTGGGTACCTGGGGTGAGCCACCAAATCTCCCTGGGTCTCAGTGTCTTCTTCATTATTTCCATCATAGAGAAACAGACAGTAAGAGAAGTAAGAGGGATGTTGGAGACTCACTGCCCTTTGAGTGCGGGCAGAGGGAACGCAGCCTTGATCCTTCTCTTTCATTGGCAGATGGAGCACCCGGGCTACTGCTGCACACAGGGTGTGCACAACCTCCCCCATTTTGGAAGTGGTCAGGGAGCCCACACAGAGGCTGCCATCTCCCACCCGCCCACTGCAGGGTCTGAGCGTTTCTTTCTGCAGTCTTCTGGGGGTCCCAGCTTCAGAGCTGGTTCACTTGGCCCTGGGACAGCAGCTGCTTGTTGAACTGCTGTGCAGATGTGTTGGCATGCTGAAGTTGGCAGCCCGCACTCTGAGGTCCAGCCCCCCAGGTAACTAGCATGGCACCCCCCAACCCCATCTATCAGGGAAAAGAGAGTTGGGCAAAGGTGGGAGAATGGAGAAGGGCATTCTAGGCAGAAGAAATGCTATGTGAAAGCACCCTGAGGCAAGGGAACAGCTTGCCCCATTTGTGGAATGGAGAAACCACCGTTTTTATATATTGCTGTGTATTCTCCGAAGTCCTGGTCGCAGTGCGGAACATATAATAGCTGCTCCAGGAAAGCATGCTTGACTGGATCCAAGAAAATGATGGAACTGGCTCTTGGATGGGTCTTGCTGCCTGCTTACTTTGAGCCAGGACTCGCTCCCATTCCTGGCTTCCCTGCCAGTCTGATCTCCTTTGACCCCCACCCTCATCAATTCTCCTCCCTCAGTGGGCCCCTCTTCCCATGCTAGTCCTCAGACCACCTTGTCCTTCAGCTTCTGGCTAGGTTCTGTCAACAGGAGATGGAGGACTGGAGGCTGTCTGCGTATTTCTTCCCCACACCCTTCCTGCCCTGGGTCCTGTTTTCAGGCAGTGACTTCATCTCTCCCGGACTATACAGCTCCTGCTGCAGGGTCCCTCTTCCATGGCTCCAGACTCCAAATGCAAGTGAAAAGGAACTGGTAGAAAGAAGCTGTTGACATTTGGCAACACCTAATGAAAGTAAATTGAATCTAATGATCATTAATATCTGCTAACATCAGAAAAAAAAAAAAAAAGAGCTACAACCAGACAGATTTTATGGCCAACCATCGTATCACCTCTGATATAGTTTTGTCAAAAAAAAAGAAACTGGGTTCAATCAAACTTCTAGTGCCAACCACCAATTAATAGCATATACAGGAAACAGAGGAATGGGTGAGAGTCACGCAGGAATATAGTCAGCAAAATTCAAACTGTGCCTCCTCTCCAGAACAAACAAATCTGGTTTCAAAAGAAAAAAACTGCAAAGGAAGGGAAAGATGAGGGAGAATTTCATAGGAATGAATGCACTTTCTTAGGGTCCCGAGTCAACCAACCTAACCATTCACATTAAAAGACAATCGGAACTGTGAACCAATGGAATATTTATTTGATGATATCAAGTACCTCTGGTTAGTTTTTTAAGTGTGATAACAGCAAGGTAGTTTCTTTTTAAAGGAGTTATTATCTTTAAGGACAAAATAGCTAAATACAGTTATTTTGTTTAACATGCAGAAGAGAAATGAGGGAAACCAGATCAGCCTTAAGTTGGGGAAGCTGGGGAGAGGCTACAGGGGAGTTCTTTATTATAGTCTTTCCACTATAAAGGTTTTTTTAAAAAAATGTTATCTTGGCCGGGCACAGTGCCTCATGCCTATAATCCCAGCACTTTGGAAGGCTGAGGCGGGCAAACCATGAGGTCAGGAGTTCAAGACCAGCCTGGCCAATATGGTGAAACCTCATTTCCACTAAAAATATAAAAAATTAGCCAGGCTCTGTGGCACACACCTGTTGTCCCAGTTTCTCAGGAGGCTGAGGCAGGAGAATCGCTTGCACCGGGGAGGCAGAGTGTGCAGTGAGCTGAGATAGTGTCACTGCACTCCAGCTTGGGCGACAGAGTGAGACTCTTAAAGAAAAAAGAAGTTATCTTGAAATAAAAAAGAGTGCAATTTCCCTTTCCCTTCCTCCTCACCACCTCTTCACAATCCAAGTAGCTCCATTAATTTTTTCGGTATGTATTTTGAGGCAATTTTATTAGGTGCATGCGTGTTTAGATATTACCTTTAGAAATGTAATATCTTCCTGGCGAGGTGAACCTTTTTATCATTAGGCAGTGATTTTATCCCTGATGACTTTTTGTTTGAAGGTCTTTTTATCAACAGACTTCAAAACTGTATTAACAGACTTTATATTAAGTCTGTTAATATAGCCAAACCACCCTTGTTTAGCATCTGCCTTACATATCTTTTTTCCATCTTCTTATTTTCAACTTATCTCTGTCCTTATAATTTAGATGTGTCTTTTTTAGACAGCACATAGTTGTCTGGGCACAGTAGTAACTCATGCCTGTAATCCCAGCACTCTGGGAAGCCAAGGCAGGTGGAACTCTTGAGCTTGAGACCAGGCTGAGCAATGTGGCAAAGCTCTGTCCCTATAAAAAATACAAAAATTGTCTAGGCATGGTGGTATGAGCCTGTAGTCCCAGCTACTGGGGGCAAAGTGGGGAGGGGGCTGAACAGGAGGATCATTTGAGCCTCAGGAGGTCGAGGCTGCAGTGAGCCGTGATCGTACCGCTGCAGTGAGCCGTGTTCGTACCACTGCACTCCAGCCTGGGCACCAGAGACGCTGCCTTCTCAAAAAAAAAAAAAAAAAAAAAAAAAAGTACATAGTTGGATTGGATGTTTTTCTAACCTGACAGATTTTAATAATTCATTGGTAAGTTTAGTCATTTTGCATTTATTGTAACTGACTTGTTTCTACCATCTTAGTTACTTAGAGTGCTTTATGATTTCCCTTTTTCTGCATTCCTTTTTGTCTTTTTCTTACTCTTTGAATTGATATATTCATGTCTCCTTAATATATAAGAACCATTTTACTAGTTTCTTCTCTCATCTTTATCATTGTCTTCTTTTCATTTTCTTTGGGTTTATTCTTTTGCAGAGATATTTTCAATTTTGATCAAGTCTAGTTTATGAGAAAAATTTCTTTTATAGATTTTGCTTTTATTGTATCTAAGAAATCTTTGCCTATCCCAAAGTCACAAAGATTGTCTTCTGCGTTATTTCTAGAAGTCTTAGGAATTTAAGTTTTGCATTTAGGTTAATAATTCATTTTGACTTAATTTTTAATATAATGTGAGGTACACTCTGCAGTTCACTTCTTTTCCATATCCAGTGGTTCCAGCACCATTTGTTGAAAAGACTATTCTCTCTCCACTACACATATATGTGTAGGAATGTTTTTGGACCTTTTCTGTCCATTGATCTATTTGTCCATTGGCACCAATGCCACACTGTTTTGATTACTTAGCTTTGTAATAATTCTTGAAGTCAGGTGGTGTAAGTCTTCCAACTTTTTCTTCTTTTTCCATATTGTTTTAGTTATCCTAGGTTCTCTGAATTTTCATATGAATTTTGGAATCAACTTGTCAATTTCTGTTATGTAAAACAGCCTGCTGGTTTGATTGGGATGGAATAGAATCTATAGGTCAATTTAGGGAGAAATGACATGCTAACAACATTTAGAGTATCTGATGTATGAACACAATATGCATCTCCTTTTATTCAGGCCAGTTTTAATATCTCTCAACAATGGTTTGCCGTTTTCAGCACATGGGTGATATATATTTTTGTCAGATTTACCTCTATTTTGTATTTTTGGTGTTATTATATGATTTTTTAAAAGTTCAATTTATGGTTCTTTTTTTGATTTATGGGTTACTTAGAATTTGTTATTTAGTTTCCAAATATTTAGGGGATTTTCCAGATATCTTTCTGTTATTAGTCTAATTTAATTCTTGCAGACAGAGAACACATTGAACTCTTTTAAATTTATTGAGACTTGTTTTATAGCCCAGAATATTTTTTCTATGTTGGTAAATATTCCATTTATGTTTGAAAAGAATGTGTGTCCTGCTGTTGTTGGGAAGAGTTCCATGAATATTGATTATATCTAGTTGGTTAATAGTGTTCTTCAAGTGTTTTATATCCTCATCAGTTTCTTATATACTTGTTTTATTGATTATTTAAAGATGAGCATTGAAACCTCTGCTATAATTACAGATGTGTCTATTTCTCCTTGCAGTTCTATCACATTTTGCATCATGTATTTTGAAGCTCTGTTATTAGGTATATAAATGTTTCAGATCATTATATCATCTTGATGAATTGACCCCCTTATTAAAAAATGACCCTCTTTTTCTTTGGTAATACTTTTTGCTATAAAATCTACTTTGTCTGATATTAATATAACCACACCAGCCTTCTTCGATTAGGTTTAGCATGGAATATTTCTTTGTCCTTGTACTTTTAACCCATTTTGTCATTATATTTAAAGTGGATTTCTTATAAGCAGCATATATTCAGATATTGTCTTTTAAAAATACAATCTGAGAGTCCTTGCATTTTTATTGCATTGCTTATACCATTAACATTAATTGGTATGATTTGTTTTAAATCTACCATCTTGTTATGTGTCCTCTATATCTCTCATCTGTTGTTTATTCCCGTTTTCTCTTCTTCCGCCCTGTTTTGGATCAAGTGAGTATTTTTGTGAGTCCATGTTATCTCTTCTGTTGGCTTTTTAAGTATTGCTCTTTGTGTTTAGTGGTTGCTTTGGGATGTATAGTATACACCCTTAACTTACCACAGCCTACCTTCAGGTGCCATTTTGTCACTTTTTGTGTAGTCTAAGAACCTTACAATGATATATTCTCATTTCTCTCCTCTTGACCTTTATGCTATTGTAGAAAGTACAACTTTACTTCTACACATGCTATAAACCCCACAGTACATCATTAATGGTTTCACTTTCAACAGTGGGATTTTTTTTCTTTCTTTTTTTGAGACAGAGTCTCCCTCTGTCACCCAGGCTGGAGTGCAGTGGCACCATCTTGGCTCACTGCAACCTCCACCTCCTGGGTTCAAACAATTCTCCTGCCTCAGCCTCCCGAGTAGCTGGGACTGCAGGCACGCATCACCATGCCCAGCTAATTTTTGTTATTTTTAGTAGAGATGAGGTTTCACCATGTTGACCAGGATGGTCTCGACCTCTTGACCTCATGATCTGCCCACCTCAGCCTCCTGAAGTGCTGGGATTATAAGTGTGCGACACCGCACCCAGCCTAAGATTAAGTACTTTCAACAAAAAACGAGAGCCTGTTTACTCTTATAAAGATGAATAAATTATAAATATATATATGTATTTAAACGTGCATGTCCTCTGCATGCCTTTTAAAACCTGAACACATACACGCAATTTCAGGGGTTGGGAGAAGAGGAAGAAAGCTCTCCTGAACCAACAGCCATGGTGATGAATGCTCCATCTCTGTGTGTTTGGTTTCTATTTTCAGGCTCAGAGAAGAATGGAAGCAGAAGCTGGAAACAAAGCTGAGGCTGCGGAACAATCCAGAGGATGCAGAGAAGCGGACAAACGTTGGCTAAGAGCTTCCTGCTTCATTAACACAAGAAGACGCAAAACGCTGAGGTCACTTTGCTAGAAGTCACTGCAAATCCCTGAGTCCCTCTGCTACACCAGTCAGATCTCACACCATTGCTTCCCCGCCTGGGAGAGGATTTGCTTGTAAAATCCTTTCCCAGAGCTTATGGCAGCTACTGGCCAAGTCAGTCCTCTGTGCATGGGCGCCGGGTTATTATCCCAAATGTCTCTGAAGATAGCTTATTTAACAGCAAAGTTCTATGTAGCATTCCTTATTTCTACACAATTATCTTCTAATTTTGAAATCCAAATATTTTAAACTCTAAACACACCAAGGGGAATCCTCAATCTTCAAGGTCAAACTTTAAACACTGCACGGTAGTATTGCCCCACCGTTTCACCTAGGAAACACAGTTTTAGGGAATTCTTGTCTTCTTTTTAAGAGAAGAGAAATGCACCTATCCACAGGAATTTAAAAAACTGTAAATAGTCAAAGTACAGTTTAAAAATAAATTGATCTAGTTTTTTTCTTCATATAAATGTAATTGGCTTCTTCCAAAATACGTTTCCTAAAGCTAATATCAGGATAATTTTAATAAGATTGGTCGTCCTGTCATCGCCATGCACATGCCTTCCTTTTATTGCTTTATTTTAGATCTCTACATGTTTGCACTGGTTGGCTCTCTGCTAACCCAGTCAGAGCACATCTGGCCACTCCACAGTGTTCACCACACAGATTCTGGATGTTGAAATGGCACAGTCACTCACTTGCCATCTCTCAAGTTCAGAAGCACCAGGGTTGGATGCTTCTGAGAGTGCAAACTGGAACTGGGCCCGAGGCAATTATTTTAACAGAGGAAAAGGAGACGAGATGCAGTAATGTAAAGTCCTGGGTACCTGCTGGCTGTAAGCAGCACCGGCCAGGCCTTGTATACTACACACAGAGGCAATGCGTATGGCAGACACACCTGACAGCAATAACAAGTCAAGCAAATACACTGGGAATGACCTTATTATCCCAATTGGTAATTATCTAAGAAGAATGTGTGTTCGGAATCCAGACAAGCTAACCTGGGAGTGGCCAACCTGGAGTTTCATGCGGTAACTGTGAAGGACATCTGAACCCCCAGCCATCCTTTGGAACACAGTTGTACAGGGGTTCAAAGCCTTCTGTTTCAAGTTAGATGGTGGTTGCTAAATGGAGGGTGCTAACTGAAAATGCTATATAAACCGCGTGCTTTTTACAGAGAGTAGTGGTTCTTTCATCCAGCCTGCTGCCACTGGACCATCCCTGAATGTAAGTTCCCCCAATAAACCCTACAGCTCATTCACTGTTTCTGAGTGTCTTCTTTGTCTTCTCAGATGTGGTGCCATTCCACTGGAGTCAATAGGAGTCTGGCTTGACATAACATTATCAGGAGATGCGGAGAGCCAGGCTGGCCAGTTCTGCCAGTGGTGAGTGTGGTGTTCCCGTCTTCTAAATGCCCTAATACAGCAGTACATGCTTCCTTCCACATCCCCAGGGAACCCATTAGGCTTCCTCAGGGCAATAGCAATCTCCAGGAGGAAAGCAGGGCTGGAGGAGTATTTCCCCAGATTCCATACTCAATATGATTCAAGGAACAGGACTCAGAGCCCTCTCTCCCTCTATGGTCTCTTATTCAATCTTGGATTTGATTCAACTAATAAATTACAAATTGGAGCTGGGGAAATTTGAGAATGTTTAGATGGAGAAGGAATTTTTGTTGGGTGTAGGAGGAACATAGAAATTAAATAGAGGTCGAAGAAAAGTCATGGCTTGCGGGGCTGAGAGGCTCTCAGAAGCAAAGGCCTGCCATGGCAAACTGCAAATGTTATCGCTGGGATGGAAACGCAGTAGAGTGAGGTGGGAAATATGGGTGAAGATTCCTTGTGCATTTACTCATTCACCACAAGCCAGGCACTGTGCTAGACAACTGGAATCCAGCAGAAAAAAACCAGAGGTGCTGGCTCTGGAAGCTACAGTCTAGGGAAGAAGCTGCGGGGAGACACAGCAGGCCATGGTGCCCACGCCCTGTGGGGACACACTCTGGCCTAGAGAAGATCATATACACATGATCCAGGAGAAGTGAGGATGCAGGGCTGGCAGGTCCTGGGTACCTTGAGGAAATACATTCAGCAAAGTTAGACTGGGAGTGTGGAGAAGGCGCAGCACACAGGGCCTTACTGGCTGATGGATTTGATCTTTGCCTAAGGGCACAGGGAGCTCCTGAAGGGTATTAGCAAGGAGATTGCTGGAGCATTGCCCTGCTACAGGAGGTGAGAGGACAGAGGTGGGAGGCCAGCCGCCAGCTCCTGCAAATGGCTCTGAAGAGCCCTTGGTGCCCTGGAGGGAGAGATCAGGAAGGTAAGGGGTAGACAAGGAGGACCATCTTGGAGGGAAGCGCACAGCTCCCTGAGTGACGGGGTGTGAAGGGAGGAGGGTGTCAGGAGGTTAGAAGTGGCAGAGGTCCTTGGAGGTTGTGAAAAGGGAGGAAATATGAAGGAAAAATATGATGAGGGAATAGAGGCGATGGGGACACGTCAGAAGCATGATGAATGAGAGGGCCCTGAAGACGTGCAAATAGGGATGCACCAAGGAGCATGGAGGAAAATTCCATTCCCAGGTCACTGCCCGGAACTCTAGAACACTACCTCCTCGGGGCACTGCCTCGATAGTACAGAAATGGGTATCTCAGGGCCTAACTGATCTTCTAGATGGAGGATAGAGACCTGGCAGAAATCTTGGCTGCTCCCAGGCCACTATCCAGGGCAAGTATAAGAATCCATCAGAGTCAGCCTCAGAGAGAGTGACAAACCCATGACTGAGGAGGTAGTGAGCAGAAGAGGTTTTGGATTTGGAAAGCCGGTTTTCTTGGGAAATATGTTATTATAGGTGTGCTGACAGGTGAAACCGTTTATGGCTGTTCTTGCTCTGAGTATTAAAAAAGGGTATCCTGCTTTTTGAAATACCCAAGCATCGCTGACTTCTCAGAGCTCTGTATCTGCCCCAATGCCTGAATCTATCCTGAACAGATTTTTATTGATTGGTATGTTTTGGTTACAAATGTTTTAGGTGCTTTTCTGTAAAGCACACAAATACAAATAGAATGAAAGTACTCGATTAGGACTGATACACAAAGTGAAATTTTCATATTCACTGATATGGATGAAACTCACCATTTTTAAAGTCCCAGTGGTTCTGTTCTAGGAAAGCATGTTTCTGTGGAACCTGGTAGATGCATAACATAGGATTGGTTTGTTCACAGTCTCAAAATAGCCTTGGAGGATAACTCAGGCCTTGACACCTTGCTCTCAGGCTGCTCTGCACCGCTGGCTCGGTGACCTCTCAGAGATCTGAATACTAGTTGCTGGTCCTTGGAAACCTTGACTCCCCACAGATGAGCAGACACTACTTCCTTTTCTCTAATCTATGGAACAGTCACCAGAATAAAGCCCCTAGTGGGTATGAAAGCCAGCTTTGGGAGAACCTGAGAGATGCAATGGGAGCAGCTGTGAAAGGAAGTTTGCAAGTACACAGTCACAGTTCCTGTGAGGCCAGGAAGACCCGGGACCCCCTCGGGGGTCTCAGAGGCTGAGTATGAGGGCAGAAGTCTCGACTGCCTTGGCAGCGGAAAAGCTGTGGGGACAGGAACGACACTCATATGTTACGAGACACAAAATTATCTGTTGGGTGCATGAATGGAGGGTTTGCTTGTAGCACAAGCACATAGTCTTATAAGAAGCTCTTAAATAACTCCATTCAAAGCAGGGCTGAGCAGACTGAATAGAACAGCTCAAGGCTTATTTCCTCCCTCATTTAGCAGAGGGCTGGCTTAGCTTTCTGAATTGGTCAACACACAACAGAGGGCGACTAGCTGTTAAGCTTCAGAGGCTTCTCTCTCCTCAAGGCCACTTCCTGAGCAGGAAGCTTCCAGTGTTTCACAATTGTCCAAATGTTTCCATTTGGCCTATAGGGAGAAGGGCTTTTCAGACATGGTGCTTCTGGAGCCTTTCCACCCTGCACCCAGCACATCTGTGCCAGCCCAAGCCCACCTCCGGGCTGAGCTCTGCTGCGTCTCTGCCTGCAGTTTCCCCGCAACAAACATAGTTCTGCTTTCTATGGAGCGGTGGCTTTAGTGGTGGGTGTCCCGTGACCCCGTTCTCAACAGCAGCTTCATTCAGGCCGCCCCAGACCCAGAAGGCTGTCTTGGAGGACAGCTCCCAAGTCTCCACTGAACTTGAGGCAAGAAGAGGGAAAGACACAAAAAAGGCAGAGAACAAAACTGAGGAAAGGTAACGCCCTCAGAGGGAGAGAGAATACAGCTTTCTGGAAAGACTCTTGTACGGGGTTTAGAAAAATTCATTCTCATTCATGGCTGTTTCTGCCAGGGGCCAGTCAGATAAAAAACAAAAAAGAAAAAAAAAAAAAAAAAGAAAAAGAAAAAGAAAAACAAAACCGGCGGAGGAATGGGGAAGAGGAGGGGGGAGGAGGGGGAAGAGGGTGGAAGAGGAAGGGGAGGAGGAGGGGGAAGAGGAGGGGGAGGGGGAGGGTGGAAGAGGAGGGGGAGGAGGAGGGGAGAAGAGGAAAGGGAGCAGGAGGGGGGAAGAGGAGGGGGAGGGGGAGGAGGAGGGGGAAGAGGAGGAGGAGGGGGAAGAGGAGGGAGAAGAGGAGAAAAGGGGAAAGAGGAGAAAAGGGGGAAGAGGTGGGGGAGGAGGAGGGGGAGGAGGAGGGGAAGAGGTGGGGGAGGAGGAGGGGGAGGAGGAGGGGAAGAGGAGGGGGAGGAGGAGGGGGAAGAGGAGGAGGAGGGGGAAGAGGGGGAGGGGGAAGAGGAGGAGGAGGAAGAGGAAGAGGGAAATGGAGGAGGAGAAAGGGGAAGAGGGGAAGAGGAAGGGGAAGAGGAGGAAGAAGAAGAGGAAGAGAGAAGGAAGGGAGGAGGAGGGGAAGAGGCCGGGTGGCAGAGTCGCTGTGGCGTGGATCTGGTTACCAAGGTACTGAGACACCAAACAGGGAACCGCCGGCAACCCAGGGCTCCTCAGCACCAAGTTGCTGCTCAAATCCCTAGCACCGCAGGGACAAAGGAGAGCCGCCTGGTGGGAAATGGAGCCACACGGAGAGATACACTCAGCAAGCTCTGGGCCTGCGGAGGGAGGCGGTGCGGGCGGCGCTGAAACCCAGCGGATGTGCCGCCTGAGACGGAGGTGAGAAGTGCCCCAGCTGGGCCTCCCTCCGGAGCCTCCCGGTGGCCGCAAGCTGGTCGGCGGCAGGTGCTGCGCAGTCAGCGGGACCCCACGATGCCAAGGAGAATGATGGGCATAAGGACTCCTCTCCATTTGCTGTGAAATGTCAGGACAGACCTTTCTTTCCGAGTTTCCCTTCTGAGATGGAGAGCGGTCTTGAGAGGTTTGTCGAGATCTGAATTTCTGTGAAACAAGCACGAACTCTATCAAGAGACGTTGTGGTGCAACCGCACCTAGTCATGGGCCTGGTCATGGGCCTGTAATCCCAGCACTTTGGGAAGCCGAGGCGGGCGGATCACCTGAAATCGGAAGTTCAAAACCAGCCTGGCCAACATGGTGAAACCTCATCTCTATTCAAAACATAAAAATTAGTCGGGCGTGGAGAATTGCTTGAACCTGGGAGGCAGAGGTTGCAGTGAGCCGAGATGACGCCACTGCACTCCAGGCTGGGCGACAGAGCAAGACTCCATCTCCAAAAAGAAAAAGAATGAGGTCCTCATACTAACATTGACCAGGGAGGAGCTAAAAAGTCTCTCCCACCACAGAGGTGGCTCTAAATCCAGGCAGAGTCTGGGAATGACAGATCAGAGGTGTGATATGTCAACTGACATTCTGTTTCGTGATGAGAGGTGCTGCATTCCACACTGCGCCCTGCACCCCGCACCGGGATGTGGCCTGACTATTCTGGATGCGTGGCTCCTGGGACAGTGGTTGCGCTGCAGGTCCTTCCAGTGGAGATTTCTGGGGAAAAGATATTTAGGGTATGAGGTGAACCATGGGAAAGGCGATCATCTGACTTGTTTTCAAAATACACTTATCAAGCACTAGCAAGTCTGAGATTGCACCCTGCTTACAAGTTCACACGCTAGCCTGCCATCATTTCATGGATACAGTAGGAGGCATGAGACTCCTGGATTAGGGACAGGATGGATTGGCACTGACAGCAATAGCAGTGGTCAAGGTATCAGCACCTTCACCCTCTCCTCAAACCTCAGTTCCCACAGAAAACATGAGGAGGACCAGTGAAGAGCCCTGAGCTCAGGAAACTCAAATTTTGATTAGTGAATAGTAAGTGCCTGACCTTTGCCCTGGTGGAAAACACTATCCCTACCTTCGAATTCTGTAAGCAAACCTGCCCTCCCCTGTATTGAGATTCTATACTTGTCAAGGCTGCTTATCATACAAACATCGTTGGACAGGTAGCCTGGAGCACAGGCAGCCAGTGCTTCTGCTTAGAAGATGGGCAGAAATTCTAGAGACCCAGGAAAAATGCCTCCCCACAATATCCACCCCTTTCTTTTCTTTTTTTTTTTTTTTTTTTTTTTTTTTTTGAGACAGAGCTTGCTCTGTCACCCAGGCTGGAGTGCAGAGGCATGAATGATCTCAGCTCACTGTGACCTCCACCTCCCTGGTTCAAGAAATTCTCCTGTCTCAGCCTCCCAAGTAGTAGCTGGGATTATAGATGCACACCACCATGCCCGCTAATTTTTTTGTATTTTTAGTAGAGACAGGGTTTCATCATGTTGGCCAGACTAGTCTCGAACTCCTGACCTCAGGCAGTCTGCCCACCTTAGCCTCCCAAAGGGCTGAGATGAGCCACCACTCCTGGTCTCCACCCCTTATTTCTATACTGTCTTGGTTTCTGGTAAATTTCCCCAGAGGAGACTATCTGACTGACGGAAGCTGGGACCAAATTCATTTAGTGTGTCTCATACAACATTTAACTGAGTGAACAATGAAAAGGACTTCAAACAGCAGGAGGAAGCCAACCTGCAGTGCTGACCACAGCCATGCCTCCGAGCGTCCTCGATCCAAGTAGCTGAGCAAATCACGTAAACTCTCAGACCCTGCTTTAGAAAGCCATGCAGCCTAAGTTTCTGTATTGACTCTTCCTCTTGGCTAGAGGCCTTATGTAATCCAGGAATGGCAGCATGTACTAGTGATTGCACAGACTCCATGCTGACCTGCATGGAGGAAGTCTAGGGAGATTCCGTTATCTGTAATAACCCTGAACCAGTGAGCTGAGGCTGCCCTGAATGTCTTCCACAGCCAAGGGGGTGATCACTTCAGCAAAAACCAGGGACACATTCCATACCATTAATTAGGTGACTTTCATTATAAGGGAAAATGTCCTGAGAGTATACATGCATAGTGAGTTCGGGTAACTAAATTACTCGTTTGGAGCAATTTCAGTTGTCTGAGGGCCACATGATCCACTGGCAGTATTTCCTTAAGCACTCAGAGGTCCCTCATGACCAACCCTAAGGTACAAGTCACCTAGGGGCCTGATACGATGGAGAACTGGATGCCTGCATAAAAGCCACAAAGCCATGCAAGATGAAGTCCTTCCCTTCTCTGAATTCCCCAGCATATTTGGATGGGTGTGTGTGGCCTTTGGTCCATCTCGGGGAAAAGGAGCCCTCCACCCAACCCCTAACAAACTTTCTCCTTAAAGGAGCTGAGGTTAAGGTAGAGGGGAACAGAGGGATGGATTTTCTAAGCATGACATGAAAGGGTGAAACTCTAAAGAAAAATATTGAGACATCTAACATTATGATGATTTTTGAGTATCCCAACTTGTGAATACCAAAAATGAAATGGATTTCAATTTAAAAGCAAGTAGAAAGTCACACCAAAAATTTGAAATATTTTAATATATCCCTTTTTATATCATATAATAAACTTAACAGACTAGGCTTGTACCAATCAATAAAACAATAATCAATGATGCAATATGTAAAGAAGCAATAACTATAAATCTGCAAATTCACAACGGAGATATGAGTAATAAAATAGTGAATTATAAAAGGCACAATAAGAGAATTTGAATTTTCAAAAACAAAACTGACAAAGATTTTTAGAGCTCATTGAACCCGTCTGTTATTAGACAGCTGTTCAGTGACTATTCACTTCCTCACTCTCTATCTCCATGGGAGGCTGGGCTTGGCCCCATGAACTGTTTTAGCAAACAGAACATGAGCAAGAATAACTGGTTAGTTCTGAGCAGAGGCCTCAAGGGACATTGTGAGATTTTATTTGCCCTTCTGGAAACTTCTGACCTCTGTGCCGGAAGCACACGCTGCAGGTAGCTGCCCCTCTCCCCTTGGCCGCAGGGAGTGGCGCTGCAGAGCAGATCTGAACCAGTCTGCAGCATAAAGCGAGCGGCCCCAGCAGGCCAGGGCCCCACAGCCTGAGGCAGAGCTGCCCAACCAACCCTTGAACACTGGAGTGGGGAAAAAAAGTTTATTGTGTATGCCATTGAGATTTGGGGGTCCGGGACTATTATGCAACGAAAGGCTGACTAAGACACAAATTGGTACCCAGAAGTGACTATTCCATAACACAAGCCTAAGATAGGTCGCAGCAGTTTATGTATCAAACAGTGCTAGAAAACATAATAGGCTGGTAAAATGGTGATAAAACTGTTACAGAAAGCTAGAGAAAAATGGCTGGTATCACTGCTATGAAAAGACAAGATTCTGTTCAGTTGTTGTCTGTGATCATCTGGAAGGCTAAGCGCGTCCTGTGTGTTCACGGCTCTGTGTCTGGCATCAGACTTTGCTCAACGCAGATATTCAAACACCAAGGGAATGACTCAAATATTTTGAGCTGAGATGAGCATAGGAAAGAGGCTGAAGGTCTATTAGAGAAAAATAACTCAATTTCCCTGTTCACCTTAGTGGTGGTGTACGGACTTTTAAATATCCATCTCCAGCTGGGCATGATGGCTCATGCCTGTAATCCTAGCACTTTAGGAGGCTGAGGCAGGTGGATCGCCTAAGGTCAGGAGTTCGAGACCAGCCTGGCCAACATGGTGAAACCCTGTCTCTACTAAAAATACAAAAATTAGCTGGGCATGGTGGCGGGTGCCTGTAATCCCCACTACTCAGGAGGCTGAAGTGGGAAAATCGCTTGAACCAGGAGGTGAAAGTTGCAGTGAGCCAAGATTATGCCATTGCACTCCATCCTGGGTGACAGAGCAAGACTCTGTCTCAAAAAAAAAAAATCCATCTCCTGAATGGCAAATGCCAGCCACTTGATCAGGCTTGACTCATGGCTGATGCTGAAACATCTGACAGGAATCCCTGCAGGGCTCCACAGGGCATGGTCAGGACTGCCTGGGATACAGGAGCATGACACAGCTTAACCAGAATGTAGGGCTTGCCTTGAGGGGGTGGTGATGGGAGCTCTCTGCCAACCCTGGAGACTGGAAGTCTCTGGCACTGACCCCTCACACAGGCTTCGCCGTGCTCAATTGCCAACTTATTTCATGTGGTTCCTCATTTAATGTACCATTGGAGGAAGAATGCCATATTGCTGCTCGTAGAACTTTTTGAAAATCGAGGTCCTTGGGGCTACAATGAGTTAATTTTCAAACTTATGTTAGGTTGGTGTTTTCACCTAGACATAGCTTCTCAGCTGCAAAACCCAGGAAAAAAACAGCCCCCTTGGTTTCCCAGGATTTTCAGCAGAAAAGGAAAATGAGAGGGAGGCCACAAACATCCCAGGTCCATAACAAAGGCTTACAGGGACATCTTAAGAGCTATAATATCTATAAAGTCAGCTCTGTGCTCCCAGCATTGCTCTGTCCTGGAATGGGCCTGATTCAAATCCCGTTTTGTTTCCCCTGACATTTGCAGAGAGAGTGGACGATTGTGCTTGCTGGTCCCTACCCTTCTGTGTCTCGGTTACCATGTATTTAGGGCATCGACTGTGCTTCTGGGAGACAACGCCAGAGGTGGAGTTTTTGCTCTGTCGCCCAGGCTGGAGTGCAGTGGCGTGATTTCGGCCCACTGCAACCTCTGCCTCCCAGGTTCAAGCGATTCTCCTGCCTCAGCCTCCCATGTAGCTGGGATTACAGGCCTGCACCACCACGCCTGAGTAATTTTTGTATTTTTAGTAGAGACAGGATCTCACTATGTTGGCCAGGTTGGTCTTGAACTCCTGACCTCAGGTGACCCACCTGCTTTGGCCTCCCAAAGTGCTGGGATTACAGGTGTGAACCACCACACCCGGCCTTAAACAGAGGAATTTTTAATCACATGAAGCTGAATAAAAATCTGTGTCACTTGCCCAGTAATTGATCCAAGTGTAAAGAAAGGACTGCTACACAGAGGGGACTTAAAGGGGATGGGGAAAGTTGTTGTTTCCGTTTTATATAAATGAGGATATTCTGTTCATTAGAATGAAAACTAATTCATACATTAATTTTCTAGTTTCATGATAAAATGGTCAGTGTTCCCAAGTGGCCAGGATTATAATTCCTGGAGAAAGGCCGTTTGATCTTAGCTCCATGGCTGCAAGTTAATAAACTTGGTCCCTCCTAAGCTAATTCATGTTTCCTGTGGGGATAATAGCCCCTAGGGTTAGGATATTGTGAAGATTAAATTAAATGAGACAGTTTCCATAAAGTGCTAAATTCAATTCCTGGCACTTAGGAAACTCTTAATAAAGCCTTGTTATTGTTGCTATTGCTATTGTCTCATAATTACCATCATCATCACAATAACAGAATTAAAATACTGTGCATCCCTCAGGTAAATCTGGGACATTTTACATTGTACGAGAATTAGCTGAAATTGTGGGACACAGTCGCTCACGCCTGTAATCCCAGCACTTAGGGAGGCCAAGGCAAGAGGATCACTTGAATCCGGGAGGCGGAGGTTACGGTGAGCCGAGAGCATGCCGTTGCACTCCAGCCTGGGTGACAGAGCAAGACTCTATCTCAAAAATAAAACAAGAACTGGCTGAAATTTGTCTGTAAAATCATGTGGAACAAATATTTAAGATTTAGTTTCTCAAAAACGCCCTTGATTTCTTCAATAAGAAAGGGGCTCTTTTATTTATTTATTATTTATTTATTTATTTTGACACTGGGTCTCGCTCTGTCGCCCAGGCTGGAGTGCAGCAGTACAATCACAGCTCACTGCAGTCTCAGCCTCCCATTCTTAAGCAATCCTCCCCCCTCAGCCTCCCAAATAGCTGGGACTACAAGCAAGTGCCATCACGCCTGGCTAATTTTTTGTATTTTTTTTGTAGAGACGGGGTTTTGCTTTGTTGCCCAGGAAGTTGTGATCTCTTGGGCTTAAGCGATCCTCCTGCCTCTGCCTCAAAGTGCTGGGATTACTGGAGTGAGCCGCCACACCCAGCCCAGGCTGCTGTCTTTTTTTCTTTTATCACTTTCATTCTCAAAGGAGGTGAGCAGACTACCGTATTTTTAAAATGTCTTCTGTCTGTGGTTTGCTAGCCTTTCTAATTGAACGGTGAACTTATCACCACATTTAATTCATGAATTTGCCACTGAATCTAACTCTTCAGCACTAGCTTATTCTCTGACATACTTACCACCAATTTATGTCAATATTTTGGCTATTCCATAAACTAAGAATCAATTTCAACAATTGAAAAAAGCAATTTAGGATGGTTTCACATACTGAGATTGAAAGACTCATCATTAACTCAAACCCAGCAGCAATTATTTTACTTTTTTTTCTTAAAGCGGTCTCACTCTGTTGCCCAGGCTGGAGTGCAGTGGTGCGATCTTGGCTCACTGCAATCTCCGCCTCCTGGGTTCAAGTGATTCTCCTGCCTCAGCCTCCCAAGTAGCTGGAATTACAGGCATGTGCCACCACCGCTGGCTAATTTTTCTATTTTTAGTAGAGAAGGGGTTTCATTATGTTGGCCAGGCTGGTCTCGAACTCCTGACCTCAGGTGATCCACCTGCCTCAGCCTCCCAAAGTGCTGGGATTACAGTCATGAGCCACCACACCCAGACTTACCTTTATTTTAAATCACAGCACAGAGAGCTATCTTGGGACCGTCCTGAGCCTGGGCATCCCATTCACATTAGGACATTTTCCAATACCACCAAAGGTTATTACCATTCGCCAGTCATTATGATTCACTAATTGAGTTGTCTGTGCTATAATCTCCGAAACCGTGCCCCTGGAGACAATCCCTTCAGTTGTGCCCTAAGAGATAACCCTGAAGCCCTGGATAGACACTTCCAATGCCATATCCTCCATGCAGGAGGATGTACAAACAGTACGTGCAGGTTCTGGCCTTTCTATTTGCCATTGAGGAGAGCAATAGAAACTCTCTTCTGCTACCCAACATGCCTTGCGTGTCTACACAGAGTACTCCACAGAGATAAAAATCCGTGATGAGTGCCCTGGTGTGGTTGTCAGGATGGGATTAGTCCACCCCCAAGTTTACTTGGGAGAAGCAGAACAAGGCCATGGCTATCATTACAGGAGTCACCCCAGCATTTTCTTCCCAGATGGGAACGCCATGGAACTCTCCAATTCCCACAGGTGAAGAAGGTGGAGTGTCGAGGGACAGAGATTTTATGTTAGCTCAGGCTCATCGAGAAGTAGATACCAAGACACAGCAAGAAATACACTGGGTGGGGAGCAGGAAAAGGTGGGGAAGACCACAGTGCAGGTGGTCTTTTATCTACGGTCCCTGATCTGCCAGCCCTGCCATCATCCATTGTTCAGGAATCAATATACATTCTCAACTCAAGTCACTTTTCCTACCACATAAATTGGTTGACCCAGATGTACTGCTTAATGCAACTCCCAGTGGAAAGATAATCCCGCTCCACTGTCTTTCAAGGCCACCCAGCAGGAATGCATGCATCATCACCCACTTCAGCATGATCACACATTTCATAATGACCGACCTGTAAATCTCCCTTGGGCCTTTTCCCTCTTTTCCTCTTCCTTCAGCTCCCCCGATCCCAAAGCAGCCATCAGTGCAGGCTGGGTGTGGGTGACCTGTTCCTGCAGTTAGTCATGCCTCTGACTGTGTTCAGCCTCAGCCTCACATACACTGTCCCCATCTTCTGATGGCTGCTGCTAGAACTCCCTGACTTTGTGACTTAGCAAGTACACAGTACCCAGCTCATAATGGACAGTTCCATACATATGGTGACTTGGTGCCCCATGGTCAAGTGTTTTATTTCAACCAGGGCCCTATAACATGCCAAGAATTGTTTCCCAAAAGTTATATAATTCACTGCTATGGACAATGCAGAGGGCCTTGCCTTAGAGTCCCACGTGCCTGTGTTGTGCTTCTCCAGCTGGGGCACGCCATAGAGCCACAAGGCATCTTTTTCCCCCACCATTTAACACTGTGGTGTTTACTAAACCATATGGCCCAAATTGCAAAACCATGATCTGGACCTGCCATAAAGCCTTTATCTGCTCTGGGTCTTACTCAAGGCTTTCAGCCTTCCCCATCACAAGTATATGGATTCGAATGGTATTCCTAGGTATGGAGTGTGTTGCCACCAGAAACCAAAGAAGATACGAGATGCTGTGCTTCCTCCCCTGTGGCAGCGGATGCATGATGCCCCCCAAAGCCCTGTCTCAGTATTCCCTGACCACAGGACGCAAAAGAACTTCACTGAAATGCCAGGTCCCTGAACCTTCATAGGGTTTATCTCCCACTAAATGTGGAACTAGTGTGTCTTAACAAGGCTTCCCGTGCACTAGCCCTCTTTTGTTTGCCCTGACTGATCGGCATGATGTTATTGACATAATGAATTCAATGTGATGTTCTCTGGTAGATCCAGGCGATCTAGGTCTTGTTACACTGTATGATGACAGAAGGCAGGAGAATTCACACGGCTGTGAGTAAAAACCATACATGAACAGATTTGTCTAGTCTACCTAAATGCAAACCATTTTTTATTCCCTTTTCTAATTGGAAAGGAAAATGATGGATCCACCATATTAATAACCACATACGTGCGCATGAGGTCTTATTAATATGCTCTAGCAATGATCTCACATCTGGCACAGCAGCTGTGATCAGGGCTACTATTTGATCAAGTCTGTAGAAGTCTAAGTTTATGGAATCCACCCAGTTTCTGCAGGGTCCAGACTGATAAGTTAAACAGAGACGTGATAAACCGGAACACCACCCAGGTCTTTAGTGGTGACACTAAGTATCATCCTCCTCAGGTGGGATGTTGTTTTTTATTTACTCTTGTGGCTGGGAGGAGAGTTTTGGAGATTTCCATTTGGCCTTTTTCACTAAGATAGTTCTTACTGCACAGGCCAAGGACCTTATGTTGTGATTACACCAACTGTGAAGAGACCAATTCCAATTTTACCCTCGAGAACTGTAGAAATGACCCCTGCTGGATCTCCAGATCCAACAGACCTACTGTAATGGAAGCCAGGACTTCGCTTATTACCTGGACCTCATAAGTTCCCTCTCTAACAGGAAGATCATAATGATGCTCTGGGTCTCTGAGTGTTAATGTTAACTGAGACCCTGTGTCCAATAGCCCTCAAAATGTCTAGGGATTCTCCTTCCTATACAGCCATCCAAGAAAATGACCGTAAGTCCCTTTGAGAAGAACGGGGACAATCATTACAGTATATTCTTGCTGTGGTATAAGAAGTCGACCTCCTAGAGACTCAGCCATCTCAAGTCAACAGAATCTGAAAATTAGCTACTGTTGTCGTTCAGGCTTCTAAAATCCACCCTAGTCATGGTTTGACCTATCCCCTGGCATCTTTGCCAGGTGTTAAATCTCTTGTTTCAATATAGTACCTTGGAGTCAATGAATTCTTTCTTACCCAGCCATGCCAAGTAGACTGGGACCTAAAATAGTCACCAGAAGAAGACACACAGGCATTCTACTCATCACGGTTCTTACATGCCTTCCTTATTTATGTTTCCCATTTTAAACCCTGCCTTCCCCTCAGCTCCCACCCAAAATCAAAATGGTTGCTTTGGATGGAATCCAGCCACTCCCCCTTTACTAGTTTTGGTTAATAAAATCACTTTCTTTCTACCAGACCTTGTTAATTGGACTCTGCAAGTGGTGAGCATCTAGACCTGAGTTCTAGATGGTTACATGGGTAACACGTCTTTAAATGTTTTCGATAGACAGATACCTGGAAAGCCACAGCAAGGGTATTGAAACAACGGTTAGCCTCACAGCAATCCCTCACACACTGCCAGATAAGTCAAATAACACAACGAGAATTTTTAAAGAATGAAATCAGTATTGCCACCCGCTCCAGCAGCAGGAGGCTGCCCTGGGAATATGGGTCACCTGTCTTGTGGCTGCTATGAACTGGGGCTAGCAGACACTTAGGTAAAAATGCCACAACACTCTGTTGCAAAAATTTAGCAGCTTCCTTCTTCATTAAGCACCCTCCTGGCAGTTCGATGTTTTTGAATAGATTCCAGAATTCAGAAAAAAAGATTATTCTGATAATTTTTACTACTTGGTAGTTGCTTCACTGAAGGGACTGATTCTTGGAGTTCTCTACTCCCCCATTTTCATGTCATTCCCTCAATACATTTCACATACATAAGTGATCACACCTGCAGAGTATCCTTTCCACAGGATGTCCTGCAGGTCACCACCAGGGAAACCTTTGGCAATTGAGCTGTAACATTTTTCCATGAGCTACCTGAGCCTCTCTCACCACAGAGAGTGGCATTCTCCTTGCCTGCCAGACAGTGAGTGAGCCAGCTCCACATCCCCAGCTCACTGCCTGCTGTCTATACATTAATTTGTGTCTGCCAAGCAACAGACATCAAAATGGAATTAGAAGTACCAGAATTTTTGGAGGTGAGGGAGCAAAAGAAGGTGGAAGAAACTTCAGACCACACATCAGATTTAAAACCTGTGGGACAAGAGAGAGAAGGAAAGATGATATTTTTAAAAATTTTCTTAAAGACAGGGTCTGGCCTAGGCTGGAGTGCCAGAGCCTGATCATAGCTCATTGCAGCCTCAAACTCCTGGGTTCAAAGGATATTCCTACCTCAGTCTCCTAAGTAGCAGGGACTACAGGCATGCACCACTGAATCAGAGACAGAGTTTTGCTGTGTTGCCCAGGCTGGTCTCCAACTCCTGGCCTCAAGGTATCTTCCCACTTTGGCCTCCCAAAATCCTGGGAGCCACTGTGTGCAGCCTTTAGGAAAAATCTTATACTGCAGCACAGTTTCAAGAAATAGGCACCCAGGGCAATGAGGAATCTTCAAGCCAAAATCGCCCACTGCATGGGTCCAGCATCTCACCAACATGGGCCTGGCTTAACACTCCTGCCACACTCAGTGCTTGGCTGGGAGCATCCAGCTGAAGTCTGACCTCAGCACAAGCGGAGGGGTTCGGCTTACTCAGAGGGGCAGCGAGGGAGACTATCAGTCAAGCAGGCTATTCACAAAAGGAGATCTCAGCAATGCGTTTTCAGAGTCATCACAGATTTAAATGTTTGTTTTTGTTTTTTGTTTCTTGAGATGGCGTCTAGCTCTGTTGCCCATGCTGGAGTGCAGTAGCACAATCTCGGCTCACTGCAATCTCTGCCTCCCAGGTACAAGTGATTCTCCTGCCTCAGCCTCCTAAGTAGCTGGGATTACAGGCACCCACGACCATGCCTGGCTAATTTTTGTATTTTTAGTAAAGACAGCGTTTTACCATGTTGGCCAGGCTGGTCTCGAACTTTTGACTACAGGTGATTCACCCACCTTGGCCTCCCAAAGTGCTGGGATTACAGGTGTGAGCCACTGCACCCAGCCTAAATGTTTGTTTTTCATCTTTCTAGCAGCAACGAAGTCATAAATAATGGCCTTATGCCTCTCTCAAAGTAGACAGCAGAGTTATGCAACGTTCTTGGTCTGGTGGGCATTTTCTGAAGTACAGATAAGAAGCAAACCATTGAGCTTCAGGATGAAGACATGGTCCAGTTGAGTGAAGCCTCAGGCGTTTCTCAAAAATTGCTTTACTGAGCTCTCTTAGAAGTCTGATGAAAAATAAAATACGGAAAGGAAATAAAAAGTCTTCTTTCTCCCATTCTTCTTGTTTTAATTTGAAATGCTGTATATCCACTGGGTTTTCCCCTTCTTGGTAATGGAAGTTTTAGTGTTTATGATGTAAATTTCACATTGTTCTCCACTGAATTATTTTCAGTCCACAAAAAGTTGATCATGTTTCCTCTCAGATTCAGAATACATACGGTCCTTTTGATCTTCTCCTGAGTGAAGAAAGGCAGTTTCTATATCTGTCTATCAGATGGTCTCCAGGGAGGCCTCTTTGGCTGTGGGCATGGTGTTGTCTCTGCTGAGTCTTGGCTGGACCTGGGTGAGCCTGTTGGTCTCAGATGACATAAAAGGTGAGCAGTGCCTCTGGGAGCTGATAAAAGGAATGGCTTGGGGAGATCTCTGCATAGCCTTCATGAAGAAGATGCCTATTAGTAAGATAGATCAAAGTCCTGTGGATATTAAATTTTTCATCAGCCTCATAGAACTACCAGCAAATGTAACTACTGTTTACAGTAATACCAGCTCACTAAGAAGACTCAGTTTTACTGGAAATGTAGCTTCAACCATGAGGAAGGTGTGCAGCCTAATCTCGCTTTGGGATTTCACCATCAATGAGAAACCAATCTTGCTTAACGTTTTCCCGGGAAGTTTTGCTTTTCACACAAGAAACATGAAATTCCAGGTTATAAACAATTTCTATAAACAGTTAACTCTTTAAAATACTCAGGTCATATCTTCCTGAGTCAACAATGGAGATTTCTTTTTAGTTGCACACGTTCTGAATTTGACTGTGAAGTTTTGGGAGGGATGTTCGCTAAATGCTTCCTTGGAGTCCATGCCTTGAACCTTCTTGACATGACCGTGTCTGACTCCAGACACCCTGGGTGCAAAGCTGTGTGTGCTCTCACCCATGGCTTCCTACATACTCTGTTCATGGTGAGAGAAATGGAATCTGACTACTGCAGAAAGTTTGGTGTTTCCCGCTGGCAGGTAAAGTTTTTCTAAATTGTTTAATTCCATTTTTGTCTAGTTGGCCAGAGAGCCTA